AGGAAATATTTCACAGCCAGAAGTACATTTTCTTTTTAGAAGGGGCAATAACCACCATATTTCTTATCTAAATGGGACGATTTAGGCCTTAGAAAAGTTTCCTCAGTTCGAGTTGCTCGTGGCCATTGAAACCGAAAACAAAAATACCATGGAATACAATGGAAAAATGTAATAAATGGGACAAGGAACTGATACGTACAATATCGTGGAAACCGTTCATCCCGTTTACTCTAGTGCCTCCATGCGTTCGTGTACATGGAAGACAATGCAACGACTGTTAGCCAATTGCAGTGGAGGTAGTTAACAGTCTCGTCTTCTGATTCGCTGAGGGGCCGCACGGCCCTGTGATTGGTTACTAGCGCATGAATCACCTAAGCCTTGTCATATCCCTCATTGGTCTAATAGCGTGCGGCTCTTTCAAAAATGGCATGCACGTGCACGTGTGACTTGGTGCCTGGATGAGGGCTTGCGTGGAGCAGCTTGGGGTACCTAGATTTTTTTGTTGATCAATTTTGACACGTCCCAGAGTACATGACTCGACAAGTGCGATTGCACTGATCGTATGAAGAGATGAGACGTAAGAAGGGAACGGCGTGACCCTCTCCATTACACCCAATTATTTTTTCGAGTGGGGTAATTTGACAGCTGGCAATGGGAAAGGGCGCGATTTGAAAATACACCATGATTAAGCTGCTGTTACTGTTTAGTTTCATTGAGAATGCCCGTTGAGCCTAAAAGCGATATGGATGGATAAGTGGTCCGATTTATGGCCAATTTATTTGTCAAGATTGGGAATGCCGTCTTCTTTCCCTCAAGCCCTCTCTCATCACTAATAACTTTAATCTTCTCTTCACCCATTGCATTTTTTACCTCTCGGTTTAGGTAAATATTCCGTTTGGTTTTCGAAAGGCGTTCTTTTGCGTTGCGCCCCTCATCCATGATGATTGGATGCTGGCAAGAGATGGAGCTACTCCAATTCATCACTCCAGGGCAGAGATTAGGTTCCTAAAATGCTTCTCAGTCTGCTGACTCAGACCGAATAGGCCCCACGTTCCTGGTTTACCTTTCCATTCTCTCGCTGTAGAACTATAGCTCAGCTTGCTGCACTGTCTTTTCATTGAGATAGCATATGTGGAGGAAAAGCTTAAGCCTTATCGTATAAGTCGAAAGTGGAATCGCGATGGAATCTGTGTTTGGCATTGTTTTTACTGCAATTGGTAGTACGCTTCAGGTTCGTCTATACATGGTAGGGACAGTGATGGATCTGGGGAAATGGTTGAGAGCGCGAGGTCCAAACGATCCGCAAAATCCGGACGAAGCAATTTTAAGGAAATCAAAACATGAACAGACATCTCCATCACAACCAGTTAATAAAGTAAACGACTGCATAAGTATATCACAGAACCCAACATTAGCATAATCCCACATATATCCCACAACGAACACTACTTAATTCATCTATCAGTAGCGAGCACATTACTAGTCGTAAGAAATTTACAACCATGATCAAAAATAGCGCCACAAAGTTTACTCACATGAATCAGTGGTGAGCCATTGGTGCTGACGATCATTTGTGCAGCTGGAAATTGGCATCAGGCTGCCTGATCATGTGTCATGTGGCAAAGATGCCGACATGCCTACTGACAGGTGATTTGTGCATCCAGTACACGCTGGGGATGTCACATCCCTGTGATGCTCTCCTGTATCTTTCAGGTCGATGTCGGCATTTTGATGAATCAGTTAGTCACTCATCAACGAACAAGGCAAATTTGGAGCACCAGAACTATCAGCTAGTGGATCAGTTACCTCTAGTCGCATCCTTTCCAACTGGTGCACACTTCCACCTCGTGCTTTATGCAACTGTCAATGTTAACAAACAGGTGTTGACATCGCCTCAGAGGCGGTGGATGGAGAAACAGATCCTGGAGGCAATCCCCCCATCCTTCAGAAAATTAAAACCACCAACGCTTCGACTTAAGTACTAATTTTTGCGGTCTTTAATGTACTATGCGGTGAGGACTCAACACAAATTTTTTCGTTTTCCCGATATTAGCGCTTGTGAAGCTGATTCACCCTCTTCCTCTTTTCTTGACCCCTTCTTCACCAGCAGGCTGGTAGTGCTTCCTTGCAAAAAAAAATCTACTACCGCATCCAGAGTCGAGAAGACAATTCGGTAGCACCTCGTACTGGGGACCCAGATCGTGCCGACACCACATTTATGGATGTATTTCCCACCCCTACCGTTTGGTCTACTTACATCCACCGAATGGAATCAGAAACAAGCATCGCTGTTCCACCATAACAACATACGGGCTGCCATGGCGTATACCGTCAGCCCCTTTTTTAATTAATGAATTACTGATGTATTTTGATGTCTTGTCAACTTTGTTAGACCTTCGAAGTGATTTGGCATCAATTTTGACGAGTGATGGTTGCAGGATAGAAAAAATAAGCAGAGACAAGTCTAGCACCACTCTCCTTTCATTGTTTACAGACGGTGTGGACAAATTCTGAACGATAGCCATGAAATCAGTTGCTCAAATAGGGAACTGAATTTGTCTCCAACGGTCGAGTATGGAGCACTATAGGCGGAGGTAATGGAGAGCCATCATTCCCATTGGTCCAAACCAATTTTAAATGGCTTTTGCTTTCACCATCTTTGGATGGATGGGTAGATAAATAAGAGAAGGTTGATTTAATTCCTTCGTTTTAAAACTATGCCATGTCCCGGCTGCATTCAGTGGCACTTCTTTCAATTTACCGATGATATCTTTAGTAGTTGTCACCTCCCGTTTTCTAAAGCAGATGCTTCCCTAGAGGAGGGATATTTCTCCCCTCCTTCCAAATCAACCAAATCTAATATTACGTTTCCTTCAAATGTGAAATAAATTATTCTTAATTTTGACATTTTTGCCGCACAATTAAATGACATACGTCAAGCACGTCAGTTGGGTCTGGTGACGCACTGATATGAACTTCAACCTCGACACAATCCCAGCGTCCTGTAAGGACATTTAATCTCCCAATGGAAAGAGTATTCACGATGCCATGGACGAGGCTAAATTCGTTGCTCCTGGAAGTCCTCCAATCACCCTTATGAACGGGTTAACAAAAGTCGCCTCTACTTTCATAAAATAAGCAGCCATTTACTCTTTACCAATATAAAAAGCAAATAAAGAAGGAATGGTGGTACTTTAGCAATGAGAAGAAGAGCACTCCTTTCTCATCTTTTACTTTTAGCTTCTTCGTGTCGACTTTCTACTCTACCCGAAAAATGATGCCAATTGAATTACTTTTTCACGAGGGTTGTAGTGACGCTACTTCAGGGCGATTTTATTGGCGTTCTTCTCAGTGTTTACTTACGTTTCAGCCTAACTTGGGAGCTACGCGGTTTTAATCCACCTGTGCAATACAAAGGCATCATCGCTTTTGATTCGGCACTTATTTTACTGGGACCTTAGTTCCATCCACTCGTCGGTCTCGCGACTACTTTTTTACGTGAAGAAAAGAAGTCCTTTTTACAATTGAGTGATATATGTCCAGCCGTGAAATAAAATGAAGGATGTGCCTTTGTCGAATGGATTGATTTAGGGTGCAGACAAAGAACAGTGATCTGGACGTTGTTGTTATTTAAGTGCATACTTGAACTACGCGGGCTGCTTGTACTTCCACTTGGCCACATGGTTATAGCAACGGCCCCAACCTGCCCCTCCTGAACAAGTAGTGCGACATTACTCAAGTCCAGAAGTGGCACATTGGCGGTTATCAGAACCCTCTCCACCAAATTATTTCACCCTCAACCTGCTCTTACTACTCATGGTTTAGTTATTCATTTTTGACTCTCAGTTAGCGTCCTGTTTGAACATTTATTTCACGGCTGTTCACCTCTCCTTTGATCGTGAGCTCGTGCGAGGGACATGTGGTGAGGTTCAGGCATTTTACACCACCTCCGAAGTGGTTGATGGAGAAACAGACCATAGATGTGACTCCTCAAAAGTCAAAAACGCATTGAGTGTGTATTTTTACAGTTTCCTTTCATTTTGTGGAGGATAACTAATAGCATTCTGGCATTTGTAGGTGGTTAGTGAAAATTCACTCATGATTACTCATTTCTGATTCCTCCTTTAGACAGTTAATGGCTACGCGATATCGTCAAAGACTAACAACTTCATCGTTGGAGCATTGAAGAATGTCGGAGTTTTTGTCAGTTTGATTCACTCCACCAGAGGCATTCTAGTCAATATTGACGGAGAGGTCATTGGCTCAATGAGGTGTGTGATGGAAACCCGGTTCTACCGCGGTAGGACAGCGAGAGTAGAGGGTTTCATCGCCACCATGACCTAGATCTTACAGGGGTGCCTGTATCCGATCAGGGCAATTTGAAAGAGTAGGGTAGCAGGGTTGGGACCCAAATAACCATTTTAAGTGGATTTTAGCGTTAAAACAATTGGAGCAAATCATTTAATGGGCTTCGAGTTGAATTACGCGGAAATGGCTGCGGGAATCGCAATAGATGGACGGGTGGATAAGAGACGGATGAATGGCATCTGACTCTAGTGAAGTCCCATTTCGTTCTGATATCCTTGTGAAACAATCAGGGCCCTCTAGAGCAGAGGGTGGACTCATTACATTCACTACTGGCGTCACACCCGATTTTAGGTGTGTTCTTCATTAACTCATGCCATCAAGTTTTATTGGAGTGCTGCCTGTGGAAATGGACTAATGGGTTCATGTGCTACTGAAGATCGGAATAAGTAGGCTGAGCGCAAAATAATGATTAGTTGACAGGTAGGTTAACACGCAAGGGAGGTAAAACTAACAAAGTAAAAGGGTGTAGAACCTCAATGCTCAACTGGTATACTGCTAGACTGCAAAAGAAACAGCCAACACTGTCATAACCCACCCACCCCTAGGCCTCACAGAAAAGTAAAAACCGAAGGAGCGAGGGAGGGAGTGAGTGATATGTATCCATACAGAGATGTAACAATTGACGTTCACCCTTATTCGTTGGGGGTTGGCTCCAGAGTAGCAAGCAGGAGTAGAATTGCTAGGACACTAATGATCCCTGCGCCTAAAATATACCTAAGGGAAGGCAAAGAAGTGGAGAAAAGGGTTAAGCACCGGAATGACAGGTAAGAGTAAGTAGCGACTGTAGACTGATGCGTTATATGCTAAGCAAAATAGGTATGCGGGTAAACAGGCAGGCAGAATGGAATCAAAAGCCATACAAGGCAAAAGTGAACAATACGCCGGGCGCGAAATGGAGGACGGAGGTGGTGTGATGACAGGTGAGGAGGGACACTTCTTAAATCCCACGAAATTATGAATTTTAATGAGGGCAATTTGCGTTTGACCAGCAAAGAAGACAAGAATTAGGAAACCAGACATTACTGGAATAAGATAAAAGGTAAAAAAGGATTTCCATGAGTGACCTATACAGCCAATTGTGATAAAAAACAGACAAGGGTATCAGTCAGAGTGGTAAGCATAGGCTACAAAGACGATTAAGGAAATAAAACAATCAGAGTAGGTAGAGGCACTACTGCAAATGGGGCATTAAAACATTTGGGCACTAAATGATGTTATAAAGTCAGTTTGCGTCAGTTCTTAAATTTAAGACGACCGATACTTACAGCCACAAGGGGATGTGGAGACGTCTTATGACATTCACCTCGACATGTTCCAGGAGAGACACCACTATCCTAATAGCGGTGTCACGAAGGAATGAATTGTTGCCGCAATGTTGTTTGGCTGTAAAACCCCTCGTGGAGGATTGTAGAAACTGGAGAATATGCGGGTGTAGGCGCCGCCAAACGCTACGAATCTTCAATGCGAAAAAAACAATCGAAAGCAGGCAACTAGGACTGTCAGTAATTCCTGATTTGACATCAACGACCCTGCACGAAAATACGATTTATACAAGCTCGTATGATGCCAAATTTGACTGGAAAAGGAGATGTCACTGACTGGTAGCGAGTGGGATAGCCGACTGTACATCATGAAGCCAATTTTGTGGTTTTTATGTCACGACAAAAGCCAGTGACAGAAAGGAGAGGTAGTATGGTTTAGGATAGAGACCGTATCAGAGAAGGGAAACGAAAAGCACCGCAAGCACATTAATACACTTTGACGATCGGTCGAATAGAGTAATCCGAACACGTGTCACATATTTATGACGCTGACAGTAATCGTACCCAACATCCTTAAATGACACTGAATAGACGTTGTTGGACAAACCATAAAAGGAGGCGGAAGGTAGACCTTCAAAAATTTGGATTCGCCTACTTGAGTCTTCCGAAATTGAAGATTTGAACAATCATTAAACCAAATTGACCTCTTCAGCTACTGGACAAAAGGATGCCTACAATTTGCTAAATTTAGGAAGTATCCATCGAAAAAAGAAAGAAACTGTCTATAGATGACTTGAAAAAGCCCTCAATTCAAGGAGCTAAAGTCGGGTGAGCAGAAAACATCGTGCTATTTTTTGGTCCGTGCGTGACCGCAGATAGTCTGGTTCTCTTTCAGCTTCGCAATTATCTCCGGACAATCACAGCAAAGATCTAACCACTTGTTACAACCTCAAACATGGGGAAGGCAGTATATTTTCTTTTTGCGTATAGACCTCCACGATCAGCCAGTAGGCGGATAGTTATGCTCTCACAAGACATCATCGGACCGCGTACACAATACTACTGCGATGCGGAGGGGAGAGAGGTAATGCGTCATTTTCGCCCTCCCTTTCGTCCGGTGATTTTTTGCCAACGCCAAACAATTATCACATTTTCTTTGGCACCAGCATTGAACACTCACATGGTCGTTTGCCAAGTGGAGCAGATGGAGGTGGCTACCGGTGGGTTCGTGGTCATAATTCACAACTAGCTTGTATCACATTGAAAAATAACTACAGAGTATGGAACCAAGTGCATGCAAAGCCTTTCTGCCATTTCTTCCTGCTTTTTTTCCATTTTCTCACAATGAGTGTTGCTTCACAATCGCCTTCGTGAGAAGAGAACAAGCAGAATGGTGAAGATGCCAATTACCGCAATTGCTAAGGGAACCACTCAACCGAAAGACTTGCAACACAAAAGGTATGAGGACTCTTTCTGTCGCTCAACAAATCTGAGACAGTGAAAAGAATGAAGCTATCCTGTATTTACTTAAGCGCTTTTTACTGTCGGTAACCTGAGTAAGGGCGCTAGAGCAGGATGTGTATCGATGAATCGTCCCCTCCTGGCGGTGAAGGCACAAGCCAAAGAATGGCAAAACTCGGATCTCTAAACTTATCACCAGACCTAAAATCAAAATGCCTAAAATACTTTAGTGGTGCGGGAAATCTAATTGAATGTTCAACTAAATATTTGCCAAAATTAGGGATTAAAAAGTCGCTGCATTTTGCAAAAGACTTCACAGCTAGAAATTCAGCTATTCATACAAAAACGTAAGATTGCAAGAATCGTTATTTAAATGCATTCATTTGGATCAGAAAAGTTCGGTTCGACCTTGAGCACCGAAGCGTAACAAAACAAGGGGAAAATATTAAAAAAAGGAAAAAATTGACAAACTCCCAATACGTACTTTGTTGAAGAAACCGCTCATTCCGTTCTCTCGAGTGCAGGTACCCTCTTGTTTTCGCAGGTGTGGGTGACAATGCAGAGGCCTTAACCCACCTGTAGCGAAGGCAGCAGTCGATCTCGACACCCGATTGGTTGGGGTAGTACGCGGTGGTGTAATCAGTTGGCAGTGCTTGAACCAAACACACCTTGTCATGGGTCTGGTAGTAGGCGGATCCTATAAAATCGCGCACCCCTGTTCTCGCATTGGCTGGCCACTCAACAACAAGGAGTTGTGCTGGAGGGCGGAGGGTACCTTAAACACACTTGGATCGCCTTTGTGCGCTTCAGGGCGCAAGAAATTGTGGAAGGA